TTTTTTTTTTTTGGTTTATCAGAAAAGTTTGGACAATATAAAACAGCAAAAATAAGACGTTTACTTCGGCCTTTGTTGTTTTGGATTTAACAAAAAGTGGCAATGCAGTTGAATATTTTCATCCTTAGGTCCATTATTTTTCCTTTTGCAGTTTTCTTGCAACATTTTCTACAAGGCTGTTGTAGCAGCATTGATCAGGAATTGTGTACTTAGTATATTTATTGTAACTTTAGCAATGATACTGTATGTTTTACAACATTTAGACAAAAATTGCAAAACTCTAAAAAGTGGGATTTAGGGAAAACATGCTGAAATGAATGAACATTTAGAAATAAAACAAAACAATACCCTGTATTTTTTACAGTTTATACATTTTTAAATGTCTTAACTTTTATTTAATAGGGATTGTCAGGATCTGCATGCACTTTTTGACAGTTTGTTTAGTTGTAATTCTTTTTGTCTTCATGTATCTTCCTTGTTGTTTCAGAGTTCTTGTATTTGATGCAGCTTCTTGTGTTTTTGTGTTTTCATCTAAATTTTTCTTTTGTGTTATATTTAGTTTTCTCTGGGCCATCGACCACTTCACCTTAAGGCCTCAGCATGGTTGATAGGCAGYTGACCAGTGGACCTGAGGTCATGTGGTGGCAGGAAGGTTGTTTGCAAATGCATGTTTTATGAGACACACAGCACAAAGCTCCCAGAAAACCCAATCAGAATCACCACTTTGGATCTTCTGTTTGGCCTTTACAAATTAGTCAAGGAGAGCGCGCCTCACTGTCCAGCAGACCACCTGTCTTCTCCTTTTTTACATTTGGCTGTTTTTATATGTTGATATGTAAGAGTCGTGTAGATGGGTCTCAGCCAACTGGTCAGCTGTTTGTGTGTATAAAAACTGCTTCTGGAAGCAGAGTAGTTGACAACATTGCTGTCTGTACACTTTTCTGCATAAACAAGTATTATGTTGCCATGTCAAGTGTTTCCACTCTTGTCAGCTAATTTATAGTAACTAAGTTTTCACTAGATCCATAACAGAACAATGTTGTGCTGTTTGTCCTCGGCTGTGTCTCAATTCAGGGCCTGCAGCCCACAAAGGTCACAGCCTATATCTTTAGGTAGGCTGCTTAAAACTGTTGTGAATTGAGACGGTCTAGCCTTGAGACGACATATGTTTGTGTGACCACACACTACCCCATTACCATAGTGGTATTTTAAATCACAGTTAAAAACATTACAGGTAAATTAAAAAAACATTATTAATTTGGATTTAGCTCCAGTCTTGACTTGGTAGAAAACAAAAAACAAACTCCACTCTGCTCATTTTCCTGTTTAGTTTGCTGACACTATGAATCTTGGGATATTCAAAAAGACAGCCTTTATTTTCTGGATTTTGTGGACCGCATTTGTTGATCACAAGGTTCGGAGCACACAAACTGGAACAACCATCAGGGCAGGGCAKTGATGTAAGTGGCTGACAAATGAGCACTAAGGAGGACGCAGCCTCTGAATTAAGTCTTTGYGCCTCCCCAGGACTTTCTCCTCTGTCTGAGTCTCTAGTAGTTTTTTAAGCTTTGTGCTGCTACGTCAGTTCTGTGGTTTTATATTTTAAAGAGCTGTGTTTTATTCTTTCAGCCTCTTCATGTCAGTCTGTATTTCTGGGTTCCAACCTCCACAAATGTGACAGAGATCAGGTCTGACCACTAAGACAGGAGAGAGTACCTGATGCTGTCGTCCCTGAATGATATGTGTGCAGCAGTAGTACCTATGAGACGTGTTGTGTCCCTGAACAATGACTGCGAGGGAAGGGCTTGACTCTGGATTTATGGCCATGGAACACCTTATGTGAGACTCGGTAAGTCTTCCCCAGGCTTCCACCTRAAATAAAAATTAGAAAGTTTTATTAACACAGAGAAAAAAAAACTCTGACAATTTCATCCACATGTTCACTTTGTAGCACCTGAAGGGCTGGGCTAGTTTGTTCTTGTACAGTGTGTTTCAGTGTGATCCTGGCYTCCTTGGGACCTCCATGTGCCCCCCAGGCGTTGATTTCCCCTGTCACTCGAACCCTCCAGTCCTGATGGTGAATGTCTAATGAGGTGCTCCTCTGAGTTCCTGCAAAAGGACTCGGGTCAAAATCAGAACATCACAGGAAGTGCTTTGCTAAAACATTTTTGGCTTCTGCACAAAATGAAAATTATCATGTAAAAAAAAAATCTAAATTCATTTAGTAAATTAAAGTAGCTTTGAGGGGATCTTGTGTTGGAGTCAAACTAACAGCTACACACACACACACACACGCACGCACGCACGCACACACGCACACACGCACACACGCACGCGAACAGGGTGACCAAAGATTTTTGCCAGATGTTTTAAACTGATGTGCCCTAAAATCACTCTGATTTCTCTGCTAAACTTAAGATACTGACTTTTTACATCTCCTCCACACAACCCCACCTAAAAAAAAAATACAAAAATCTCATCAAAATTTGTCATACTTCTAAAAGAACTCTGACATCTTACCATGCATGTGTGGTATGTAAAAACATAAATCAGGAGTCACAGGAAGAAAAATGAACAAAAACTAAAAATAAACGGGGAGGGGATCAAAACAAAAGACAAATGCAACATTTGTTCAAGTTTCAAAGCTGAGGATAAATATTAAAAGACAAAGAATTTAAGAAGTGAATCCCATCAGACCTTTAAACTGAGCAGTCAGGACCGTGTGATGTTTGGGTCGTGTCCTTGTTTGATTGACAGCTGAAGGTGAGAAGGAGAGGTGTGCCTCMAGGTGACAGTCAGGCCCACTGAAATTCAGGCCTGATGTGAGCAGGTTGTGTCCGGTCAGACTGAGCTGTGCTCTGGACTGAAGCTGAAACAAAYCTCCTTTGATGGAACCGAGCCACTTGGAAAAACACAAAAAACATCTTGATATGAGAAAAAAATCCAATGTATTTTCTTTGCTAATTCTTAAAAACAAAATATAAATGTTTTTAGTGAATAAAATGCACCTCTACATTAAAGGGTCCTGTAACCAGGTCCAACTGTGCCACAAAACTTCCAAAGTTTCTTTTAAGAAAGGAACATTTTTCATGTGCAGTTTCAGTCCTGCCTGTTGGTCTTCACACCTGGGGCCTCATGTWTAAAAGGTGCATACGCATAAAAAAGTTAMRTGTGCCTGGTTCTACACCCATRTTRGGAWGTATCAAAACCAACATTGCGTGAAAGTGTGCGTATTTTTTTGCACACTTTTCAYCTGCCGTGAGAATGTGCRGCAGCCACGCAAAGTTTTTCAATCGACAGTTTTAAACCACAAAGTCAYRAATCTGACCTGAATCCACAGAAATATGACTCTGTTCTGTTTTCTGGATGTAAGGAGCGTCTGAACACGCAGTTAGATTTTTTTTTTTTAGTTTGAGCTTTTATTGTTTAAACTCGAACTATCATGAAACTGAACCCCAGGACTGAAAATCGTTTAACCTCAGACAAGAAGAACCTGAGCCCAGTCTGTAAAATGTTTTTATATTTTAATTGTCACATAGTTGAAAACCTTTTGGGTCCCGGGCCGGAAAAACCCGACACATTATGTGTGGCAT